GCGGACAACGGGTGCATCGGTCGTCTTCTTTGGAATATCTTTGCGGTCTGAACAATGGGGGCGCCAGACGGCAGTCTTGCTTCGGTGATCGTCGTCGTTCTAGCGACAGCGCAGTGCTGGGGCAGGGCCCAGAGCGTCACAAACGCGTCGTCCAACGCCGATATCCGAGCGGGGCCAGTGAGTAGCACCGCGGTCACTAAATCCTTCCTTGAGGTCGAAAAAAATGCAACCCCTCATCTAACAGCTACCCCAACTACTGGTGGCAGTACGACCACTGACCGATGGTATCCGTATGACCTGGAACCGGTAAACATCCTCGGCTGCAAGTGGCCGTCAGACCTCATAGAACGCGTCAATTACTGCGTCAAGAAAGAAAACCTTTCACAGGCTATTAAAGGAGCAGTCGCCGAAGACGTCGCTTATTACGGTATATTAAGCCCTAAGATCTTGGCTCCTCTGTTGGGCATTTGCGTCTCGAATTCATGTCATTGCGAGGTAAACGTTGCAGTGTTGATTTCTAATCGCTGCCTGAACCTACGCCATTTCAGATGTCAAAAGCGGACGTCTCAGAAACGTTGACGCTATGGAAAAATAACGACGTGCTGCTGAAGGCATTCCATCGATGTTTGCAAAAGAATACGGAAGGAATGGCACGAATGTGTGGCGTTGATACAAAAGTAAAATATATTCTGTAATATATACGTTAACAACAACAAGTGCTATCCCTTTTTTGGACGGATTACGACATGAACGTATCATTTTGAGCAAAGGTACTGCGGTAGATTAGATTTGTTCACTTATATCACTAGGGAAGCGATCAGCATAAGCACATCTTTACCAAAAAACGAGATGTTGCTGCGCTGTATCACAAACAATCATAAAATATATGTCTTAATAGACTGCCAGTGACAAATGATGAATTATTTGCAGTCAGCTGCCCCAGCACCTCAGGCTGTATCACAACATGTTTGAGGAAAGGCAGAATTGATCCCTGGCGAAACTCTTTCGCGACAAGTGGAGTATTGTACCTACTGAATGTCTACTAATGAACGGAGATCACGCAGCAAAATCTGGAGTGCAAATTGTGACTCTCTTCAACCAGCATACCGACCCACCTGAGCGGCTGTCCGTGTTGATCACCGGAACCAAGCACAGGGTGCTATTTTCGTCTCTTTCCGTTTTATCATCTAAGAAGCATTTTCCGAATCTTTAGTTCTTCTTGCTCATAAGTTGTCATTCTTTATTCAGGGAGTAGGCAAAATTATGAAACTGTTTCATCGTACTTCACGTACTCGTTTACGGTATAGTGGAGTGGTCCTTAATCAATTCATTCCGGTTGGCAATTGGAGTGTATTTCTTTCATACGGAACTGCTAGCCATGGCCACCAGCGCTTCCTATGTCCCTTACTTGTGACATTGTTCACGAAGCAAGACAGAGAAAATCTTTTTATAAGGCCATGTACTCTGAAATGTGAACGACCACCTTTAGCATATGATAAAAGATGCGAGTGAAGCAACGCTGGAGGCAAGACTATGAAAATCTAAAGAGGTAAATGCATCCGATTTATTCCAATTCAATTGCTCCTAACATTACCTACGAATTAATTCGTTTTTAAACTCAACTGCTTCTCCGGTCGTGAGGTCAACTGCCTCAATAAACCTTCCAGTGTTCCCCCGTCCAACGCAAGACAATGCTACTGCTCTAGACCTAGAGTGATTAAAGTTGTTGTAAACGCTGAAAGTACTAAATTACAGTGTAGCCAGTAACGTTAAAATGAATCAATATACGTCGATCATCAAGGTCGATTCCGTTAAACTTGGTCTGATCCGATCGAATAAAGCATTCATTAACGGACGAATTAATTTCTTCCCTAGATCACATTCGGAAACCGCCTTCTGAAACGTCACTGGTGACGAACAACTGACCCATTGACGTAGCTTATAAGGTTATGTAATATGTGCCTCTGTAATCGCTGAAATACTGTGCCTTTTCCATGCATGACTTACTTGGAATTTTCAATCAAGAGCGTTGCGCCACAACACAGTGATATACGATTTAGTCACAGAATGGGTCTATTAACACCCCTACAACTTTGTTCAGTAATGGTCCAAGAATCGAAATAGTTGCATTGTACTTTATGTTTAAACTGACTTGGTTTCGGTTAATTTGCATATTCAGAAGTTATAGGGACATTCTGCTTTTCTTCCTCAATTCTGTTATCATTACTTATCAAAGAGTACGCAGGACAGAATCCAGCCAGTAGTTTCCTGTCTACCTCGATTCCAGCCCTATAATGAACATGGGCCGTCTTTGCCATGGCGTCGCCTGACCTATAAGCCGAAAAACATATGGGCCGCGCGAAATAAAGCGCGTAAATCGATTATGTATCGAAATTTTTATATATTTAAACACCATTTGTCTGTCGGCAGTTTCGTTTGAGTTTAACAAGGATATGGCTTCACTGATTGATGTCAAAATTTGCATGTTTAAAAGCACGTTTGGAGGGACATTTGTAAGCGTCAATTAGGGAGCAAGTGGGTGCTAAAATGTTTTCACTGACTATGTCTTTAATACTTGCATAAAGTGTTCCGAAGACGTAGGAGTTCATTGCTAGTTTGCAAGCGTAAATTTTAGAGATGTTCAAGTTAAAAAATTTGTGAAGTTATACAAAGCAGTATCGTTTTCTCCCGGTTCTCTCTGCAGTTCGTTTCTGTAGCATACTGCTTCTTTTATTCCATTCTTAGACTTTGTTACTGCCATCATATCTAGTGCTTTAGTTTTCTAAAGCAACTTTCATTCCACTAAAAAGGTTTTGTTTACAATTGGTCATTCAAATCGATCGATGGTCCCTGTTAACGTGCAACATCCCTGATGGATTCCACTACTACTCGTAAACAGTTTTTAATAGGACGGATTTTGTACTTCATGTACACTTGGAAATAAGGGAATGAAGATCTACCTAAGGAATCTCTTCCATTCCAAATAGTAACATTTGTATCGATAGTCCGTAAACCGCTTGTCGCTCAGCAGACCTCAATTTTTAGTGGACAAGGCAGGCTCTTGATTTTCTTTCCGTTTTAGCCGCATAGGGGAAATATGGAGGGCATAGGATTTTGGTTGTACGATCTGTCTACCTTGGACTGTTTTACTCAATTAACATAATCTGAGCATCCTGTCGGTTACACTGAATTTCTGCCTCTGTGTCGTGGTAATGCTCATCTGTAGCCAACCTTCTGCATTCCAGATTTCTTCGTTGGCAATTCAGTGATCGCTTAGAACTCGTGGTTTTAAAATAGCACCGTTTTGCACTGTTGCATTGACAACAACAACTAACTGCTTCTTCTACGTAATGCACAGAATTACTACTGCCTCGTCTCAATCGATGCCAA